ACCTGGGGGGCTGGTCACACCTGGCGGCCGCGGGAATGCTGCTGTACCTTGGAAGAATCCTACGCTTCCTCTTCCCGTGACCATCGGATGAGAACCAGCCCTCAGAGCTGTCCCCACATCACTCAGGCCCCTGCGTCCTGCAGACCTCAGCCTGTCCCTCCTTTTCGGCCAGGGCCGGCGCATGCCCAGCCGTGGAAAAAGGCCCAGGCCGCCCGCTCTGTGTGGGCACCGCTGCCTGTGGCTCCCGGGAGGGGACTCGGGCTCGACTCACAGCCATCCCTGGGCTGGGCTCTTAACCCCAGCAGTGATGGCCTGACGTGGACTCCTTCTCAAGGTCAAAGTCAAGGTGCCTGTGTGGGAGCACAGCCACCGCCTCCAGGAAGTCCCCTAGCCTGCCCCTCCGGCCTCCGTGGATCTGAGCTCTGATTGTGTGGCCGGAGCTGAGGCGGGGTGGCCCCAGCCCTCCCCTCTCCTCCTCCTGCTGGCTGGACTGGGTTTGGGGGAGCACCCTGGCGGTGACAGGATGACCCCACTCTCCAGATCCTGGGGGAGGGAGCCTGCCTTCCACTCCATCCCCTCTGCCCCTTGAAGATGTCTTGGACAGGCTGAGTGTGTCAGACCTCAGGAGTGTACCAGGCACGGCCAGGCATGGCCAAGGACAGCCAGGGACGGCCAGGGACAGCCGGGGATGGCTGGGGACGGCCGGGGATGGCCAGGCACGGCTGGGGACGGCCGGGGGGGCAGAGCCATAGGTTCGGAGCTGTAGGTCCACCCCAGGGTCCCCAGGTTCGGAGCTGTAGGTCACCCCAGGGTCCCCAGGTTCATCTCGTGCCAGCCGTGTTCCTGCTGCCACGTGGACTAAGCCACAGCCCAGAACCGGGGGCCCAGGGGGGGACCGTCCCCCAGATCTGGGCTTCGGGTGTGGGAGGGAGGCCCCGAGCGAGACCGAGCCGGAACGGGGCCAAGTTCTGAAGTACGGACGGACTTTGAAGAACAAAACTCTGCTCTGGGGCGCAGCGTGACCGGCCCCGAGCCGCAGGCCTGCTGGGCGCTGGCTCCGTTTCCCACAAACACAGATGGGCTGGGCAGGGGGTCAGCGTGAGGCCTGAGGAATGTGCGCCCCTCCTCCCCCAGGTCCTGCCGGCTCCGCAGCCTGGTCCGCATGGGACCAGTGCCTCAGATGGTGGGGACCGGGGTTGACCCTTCAGAGCAACCCCGGGGGTCTGTGGGGCCCTGAACACTGTCCCGGGAATGGGGTCCCCCAACAACAGCAGAGGGCAGGCGGTGGGGAGTCTGAGCTGAGGCGGGGTGCCACTGGCAGGCCACCTAGGGGTGGACGGTGAGCTGCAGACCAGAGGGGCATGGGGGCCCGGCTCGGCGCCGGCACAGCCGGACCAGGCTGCGGGGGACAACGGGGAGGCACCTCCACTTTCAAAGGAATCTGCCCGCTGTCCCTGCTCCTCAGCCAGAAACAACGTGCCGAGGCTGAGGCTGGGGGGGCGGGGGGCGGGCAGAGCCCCACAACCTGGTCGCCATGTCTTGGTTCTCAGGCCCCTGTCACCCCTGCCCCCAAGACACATTCCTTCTGGGGCTGACCTGCCCCTCTCCATGCTGGGGGCAGGGAGTGGGGAGATGGGGGACATGGGGTGCGACTAGCTGGTCCCGCTGAGCCCCTGCCTGAGGCCCCGGTTCTGGGGTCCCCTCCCGAAGCCCTTCCTCACGTGATCCTCTGGCCTTCGCAGCCGAGGTGGCCACGGCAGAGCCACAGTGACAACCGCCTCCAGCTTCCGTTCCCCAGGACCCTGCAGACCCTCGGCAAAGGCTCAGGCCGGGCCTGGCCGCCTTCTCTGTTTGCTCAGCCGTGGCGTGGGGTGCTGGAGAAGGCACCCCAAAGGACTTCCCAGGCCTCTGACTTTCACTGGGGACTTTCCCAGGATGCCGGGGACCCAGCACATTTGTCTGGCTGCTCCCCTGGACGCCGGGACCCCTGAGAGACAGGGTGCGGCTTGCCTAGGGGCTAGGACCTTGGACACCCTCTCTGCCTCCTAAACCTCTAGGCTCCAGAAGACGGGGCACCAGCCCCTGGGGCACCCCCTGACGTGCCAGTGAGGGCCGCAGGCGGGCAGCAGACCCTGCAAGGCCACCACGGGACGGCCCCCCGGGCAAGCGGAGCTCGGCAGAAGTGTGGCTCTGGCGCCCTCTGCTGGCCGCATCTGCAAATAGCCGCTCCGGCCGCCTTGACAGGTGTGGTCAGATGCCCACCCACTCAGCACAGCCGCCTGCGCTGGGGGCGTGCAGGTTGGGGGGACTCCTCCAGGAGAGAACACAGGTGTCCCCACCTCACAGCTTAGCGGGACACAGACTGCAGAGGCTCAGCCCAGGCTCGGCCACGGGGCCTTTTCCTGCAGCTCGGGCCCCTAGTTCCAGGCCTCGCTCCCTCTCCTCTGGCCAGGCACCAGGCCCTGAAGTGCAGGGGGCCCCCTCCAGGCATCCCCGTGTCCCCCCGTGCTCCTCAGGCTCGTTCAGGCCCGGAGGACAGTGAGCATGGTAAATATTGACTGCCAGCAGGAGAAGGCAAACACAGCCCCACTGCCAGGCACGGGGGGCAGCTCGTCGGTGGCAGGGGTCAGATAAGGCCTGGGCAGATGAGCACAGGACGCCAGGGGGACAGACGTCCGGGCCCTGGTCTCGGTCTCCCCATTAGAGACATGAGTTGCCCCACACAGCCCGCGGGCCGGTGGGACACGGTGACGACATGGGACGTGTGTGGAGCCGCATTCGGTGACGTGCCCTAGGAGGTCCCAGCCTTCTCGCGAGGGGCCAGGGGACCCAGCAGGGTGGGGGCTTTGGGGAGCAGCTCCCACCTCCCTCTGCCCTCCGCCGGGGCAGGCACGTGGATGCCCACACAGGGCCGGATGCAGTCGCCATGGGCACGTAGAGCCCAGTCCAAGGGCGGACGGGGTCTGAGGCCACAGGAGGACGTCCCTCCGGTTCCCAGCAGGGCAGGCACGGGCCTGGACCGGGGACGGTAGGGCTGAAGCCCTCGGAGGGCCGGGGGTCCAGGGAGTTGGTCTAATTCCGCCTCTGCCTCCGCCGACCTTGGCAGCCCTGCCCCGCGTCCAGGAGCATCGAGGGCTGCCCACCCCGCCTTTTCAGGAGCCGTCTTGTGGGCCAAGGGGCTGGTGGGAGCGGGGCACGGCCAGGGGCTTGGTCTCAGGGCTGAGCAGGTCTCAGGAGGGGAAGAGGATGGCCCTAGCCCAGGCGGGGGGTGAAGAGCCACGTCACAGTGTGACCGAGTTTCTGGGGTGGGCAGTACCCCAGTGACACCCCCGAGGCCCCGGCACCAGGCAGGCCTGGCCACGCCGTGGGCCCTGGGGTGGCCCATGTAGCCCTAGACCCCTGAGGGCCCCTGCCTCCTCCTCCACAGTTTGCTGGCCCGAGAGGGAGGGACTCTCCGGGGTCCTCCCCAGGGTCTCGCTGGCTGGCAGGGCAGCCGGACACAGGCTCGGCCGACTGCTGCCTCAAAGGCACCTTGACCTCGCCGGCCCCCGCCCGCCCCAGCTGCCCCGGCCGTGGGGCTCACGTACCTCGGCTCCAGCAAGACTCCCCTTTTCTCTACCCAGCTACTGGGGACGCCTCGGTGTCCCCAAAAGCGATTCCTGTAGATCCCAGATCCCTCCCCCCTGGGAGGTCCAGGGTCCGGTAGTCCACCCGCCCACTCAGCCCTGGCCCCCACTGCAGGGGCGGGGCTAGCTGCCCGCCCAGCACATGGCTGTCGGGAGTGTCGAGGTGGTCGTGGGGAGGGGCGGCCTGGGAGGGAGCCTCGGGGCTGCGGGGAGGGATGTCCGGAGGCCTGGCCGGGCAGCTCGGCACCCAGCTTGAGGGTCAGCTTCTGCCCCGGGGCCGGCCTCAGTGGTCTGTAGCCGCCGGGGCCCTGGCCGGTGCAGCCTTTGGGGAGGGCGCGGATTGGTTTGGCCTGGGCAGCTGGCAGGCTGGTGCGGTCAGGGTCAGGGTCAGCTGCTGACCTCCCAGGCCATGGCCAGCTCCAGCGTGCCAGGTGGTGGTGGCCTAGGCGGGGTGCCCAACAGAGGCACTCAGGGCTGCAGTATGTACCGAGGAAGTGGGGTGTCAGGACCCCTGAAGACCAGGACCTCAGGGGACCCTGTCCTCAGGCCCCAATGGCGCTTCTGGGAGTGACTGTCGCGTGTGGGGCTGCACAGTGGGGGAAGTGGGCTGGGGTGGCGGGGAGACTTGGCCCCCTCCCTGGCCCCGTGGGGTGCAGTTTTCAGGGGGACACAGCCAGGATGCCCAGAGCGCTGGACCCCAGGCCTGTGGTGGTCCGAGCCGGTCCCCAGGCTCCGGGGTCCCGTGCAGTCTGCCCTGCTTCCTCCAGGGTATCCTCTGGCTGGATCCAGGCGGGGGGCTGAGGCTGCCCTGGGCCCGCCCAGAATCGGGCCGGTGGGGGACACTGGGAAAGGCCCAGATGAGCAGCCTGCCATACCTCTCTCTGTCCCCTGCCTGCCCCCACCCGGCCACTTCCCTCCAAGGGGGCTCCATCAGGACCAGCCCTGAGAGCAGGGGTCACTGGCATGTCCATCCCAGGGCTTTGGAGCTTGCAGGGGTCAGCTCCCAGCCAGCCCCACGCAGCTCCCACAGACCCCACAGCCCCGTCTCAGTCCTGCCCTCCAGCAGCCCGGGCCGGGGGGGTCCTCCCCGCACCCCAGGGCAGGGGCTGCAGGCAGCCGGCAGGAGCTCGCCAGCTGCGGGGCGTTGCCCGCGGACACGCAGAGGGCAGAGGAAGCTCGGAGGGGCCGGCGCAGAGAGGACAGAGAAGTGGGGCTCGGGGAGAGGTCCCCCAGAAGCCACGGCCCTGGCCAGCGGGCCAGCCTGGGCCCCACCCTGCCCCCCAGCTCTCCCCACACAGAAAACACTGCCCAGGCTCATTCGAGGGGTTTATTAGGTCGCTCAGGGGGCGGAGGCGGGACGAGGGGTGCAGCCGGCTAGTTGCAATAGTTCTCCAGCTGGTAGAGGGAGCAGATGCTGGTGCAGCACTGGTCCACGATGCCGCGCTTCTGCGGGGGGCCCTCCAGCGCCAGGGCCTGCCGGCTGCCCGCGCCGGGGCCCCCGCCCAGCTCCACCTCCCCGCCTGCCCGGAGAAGAGACAGGGACGAGGGTCAGGGCAGAGAGCGGCCCCGCTGCCCACCCCCCAGCCCCACACGGCCCTGGGAGAGCCGACGCACGCCTCCCGGCCTGGCCTCCACATCCTGCAGCCGCCCCCGGGGCCCCTGGGCCTGCCCCCCACTCCTGACTCTTTGCAGCCCACCCCAGCTCCCAGGACTGGGCCCTGTCCCACTGCCCCGAGAGCACGGGGCTCTTCCCACAGGTGTGCGGGCAGGAGGCCGGGTCCCCATCACCCCGTGACGCCCCAAGAGCGTC